GACCTTGTGGCTGCCTATAAGTTCATCACGGGGGCACAGAAGGGAATTGGTGAGGTTTTATTCACCAAGGCGCCCCCGGGAGTTACAAGAAATAATGGCCACAAGCTAGCAGAGAGCAGATTTAGACTGGACATTAGGAAGAACTTCTTCACAGTTCGAGTGGCCAAGGTCTGGAACGGGCTGCCAAGGGAGGTGGTGCTCTCCCCTACCCTGCGGGTCTTCAAGAGGAGGTTGGATATGCATCTAGCTGGGGTCATCTGAACCCAGCACTCTTCCCTGCCTATGCAGGGGGTCGGACTCGATGATCTATTGAGGTCCCTTCCGACCCTAACATCTATGAATCTATGAAACTATACTGTCCTTTTTAGTTTGGTCAGCATCTCAGTCAGCTGGATAATGCAGCTTTCTTTTTTATGTAAAACATTTTACATCTCTGTATCCAGTGAGTCTACTAACTCCTTATGAATCAGAGCTGGAAATCTCCAGCAACTATTAATGAAAGTTTTATACTTTCATACATGCCTATGATGTCAGTAAAAAGCCAGTTTATTTAACCTGTAAGCTGATATGTTATTCCAAGAGCATTAGCAACACCGGGTACTTGTGGCATGGGAAATATTGTGATTGAATCTGATCTGTAATATATAAATGTTGAAGTAATATGTATAGGAAATAGAGGTGCACCAATACATCGGTCTATATTGTATCAGCACCAATAAAAAGAAAATTGACGTTATCAGCAATTGGCTTTTTTTGGCTGGTGTGGCCGATAATGTTGCCGATTAAATGCCACATGCATGCGCGCAGCCACAGCATGCACATGCCCTCCTGATCTGTGCGTGGGGCGAGGGGCAGGCTGCCACTGCCCCCCCACCCCCCGTGCTGCTGCTGCTGAGTCCCCCCACTGGGAAGAGCCTGGTGCTGCCCCTGGCCCCAGCCTGCAGCAGCAGCCCACCCTTGCCCTGTGCACAAATCTGGGGGCACATGCCCCCAATGTTTCCCCTGGGGTGTGCACAGCAGTGGGAGCCTCCCCCCTTCTCCCCCTTCTCCCAGAGGAGTCACTCACAGCTTGGTCCTGCGCTCCGCCCTGGCCCCACTCCCTCCCTCACTGTGGGGGCATGATCTGCACCCCACCATGCCCCTTCCTCCTCCCATGCCCCTTCCTTTCCACAGACTTACTGGTTGGATGCTGCTCTCCAAGCTGTTGGGCTGCATATTGGCAATCGGATAGGTATCGGCAGATATGGTTCGCCAATAATCGGCCATTGGTATCGGCCTAAAAATCTTTAGCGGTGCACCCTTAATAGGAAACGCAACTCTGTAAAATGACAGACTTTCAGTTTTAGATTCAAGACTCTAGTTGTTTAAAACTTCTTCAGTTTCAAATAACTTACCTTTAAAAAGGCACCTGTTTAAAAAAAAAAAATAGAAACAAGCTTTTTAGAATAAAATTCCTTAATGCATGCAATATTGTTTATATGCATACACGTGTGTGTAACAATATAGCTGTATAAATTGATATATTTATGTGCAGTAAATGTATCTGAGAATGAGTTGTTTCGTGAGCTCTGGAGATTAAGAGAAACAGGCAGGATATTTAATGGCCGAGACCATCTTTTAAAGAAATTTCCTTCTTAAGGAACTCATCCCTCCCTTACTGTCCCCCTCCCCTCCAAGTCAACCTTCGTAAAGGCTTTTCAGGGTACACTAAGAAGTGTAAAGTGCTGCATCTGGGGAGGAGAAATCCGCAACATACTTACAGGCTTGGTGGTGCTATGCTAGCTAGCACCACATCCAAAAGGGACTTGGGGGGTCATAATTGATCATGAAATGAATACGAGCCACCAGTACGATGCTACAGTTAGCAGAACAAACAATGCTCTGGCATGCAGCAACCAATGCATCTCAAGCAAAAGTAAGGAAGTTGTTCTCCTGCTCTGCTCGGCACTGGTGAAGACCGCACCTGGAGGACTGTGTCCAGTTTTGGGTGCCACACTTCAAGAAGGATGTGGAGAAGCTTGAGAGAGTCCAGAGAAGAGCCACTCGCATGATTAGAGGCCTGAAGAGCCGGCCATACGAGGGAAGGCTGACAGATATGGGACTGCTCAGCCTAGGAAAGAGAAGACTTCTGGGGGATTTGGTGGCAGCTTACAAATATATCAGGGGGTAGGCAAACAACTATTCACCAAAGCACCCCAGGGGAAAACCAGGAGCAACGGTCATAAACTCCTAGAAGAAGGTTTCAGACTGGATATAAGGAAAAACTTTGTGTGAACAGACTCTGAAACAGACTCTCAGCGGAGGTGGTGCAGGCACCTACCCTGGAGATCTTCCAAAGGAGACTGGACGCACACTGCTGGGGTGATTTGACCCCCGCAGGCTTTCCTGCACAGAGCAGGGGGGCTGGACTCTGTAATCTCACGAGGTCCCTTCTAGCCCTAAATGTCTGTGAATCTGTAAATAGGTACACACAAATCTTTTAGTCACATATCCTGTATTGCAGCTTTTTAAAATAAATAATTCTTCCTCTTTCCATATCCTGTTGTTCCATCAATTTTTATCTTTTCTTGTCCACTGGGCTTTTTCATTTTACCTCTAATCTGGAGTGGAGACCTGGTTTTCTGATGAGATACATTCTTTAATCTATTTTTGGGACACCGAGGCACTGCTTGTTGCAGTACTTGTATTTCATTATGTAAAACTCAAAGTATTTCTTGTGCATTTCCTTGGAGTGCTGTGTGTCAATATTTTAATTAAAAAAGGGGATAAAAAACTGGAAACGCTAAGAGTACTGTTAATTTTCTGTTAATGGTATTATTTTGATGCCCAGGCATTTTCCCTTTCACGTCTTACTCCCCATCTCAGTGCTAGAATGGGTTTGTCCACACTTTCAGCAAATACATTTAAAAAGTAGAACATGAAACTTCTCTTAAAGACTACTCCCCAGATATTGCTTCCTTTTTCTTTTGGGTGCCTTGGTCTCCTTTGATCAGTACATGATTCCATAACTTTTTCTTTCATTACCCCATTGATATTGCTACAGCAAGGACATCCTTCCTTCCGAGATGCATCAAGTGCTGCACCTGGATGCATGGCTCATTCGTCTGCTATATCAAAATGATCTTAGATGAAACGGAGTATCCCTCCTTTCCCCAGACAGCAGGTTGCTTGAGCCAGAAATATGGAAGTTAGGGAGGATTATGGGGAAAATCCGAACCATAGTATTTAACAGTCACTGTATTTGAAAAACCATCGAGACCATGCTTTAAAATCAAGATTGGTAAAAACAAACAAACAAACAAAATCCAATCCATCATCATTAAAACTTAATTTTTTGTCCTATTCTTTAAAAAGTGTCTCCCAGTTACTTCTGACTAGCAATAACCAGTACCTTCTTCATGAAAATATAAGGCGCGGGGCTAGCCACTAGTCTGAACTTCCATTTAGAGTCTGCTCAGTTTTGTGCTGAAGTGTTGTGCATTGGCATGCCTGCTACTGTGACCTGAGTGAATACTAACCAGAAATTGCATTTTTGGTATAATGAATTCATAAAAATTCCTGAAGTTTTGTAAGGTACTTGAGACATTCTGGTTAAATGAATGAATAGATCTTATGCAGGAAATGGATTTCCTGTGTCAGGATACATTTAAAAAATGTCGTCATTTTATTTTTGTTCTGAAACAGGATGAGAACGCCATCTGAAAAATCTCATAAACCAATGATCCAATAAAAGTCTTTTGTTCTCTTGAAATATTTCATTTTGACTTTTTATTTTTAATTTTTAATCACCTTAATATTGTAAATGAAAAGCTACTTTTGACGCAAAACTAGAAACTCTAATTTAGGAGTATTTTTAAGCCGTTTTCCAAAATAATTGCTAATGAAAAATTGGTTGAAATATAAATCCTTTTCTGTAAACCATTTCACTTTTAACAAATTGAGGTTTTTTGTCTTTTTTGTTTTTTAAAGAACAAAACAAAGGGGTTGTATTTGGTTAAAAACAACCCCAAAATTCCCAACCTCCTTTAAGGAAGGTGTGTGTTCAGGATCCTGACCCTTGAAGTCAGTGGGTACAAGGTCATTTTTTGTGTCTTGTGGATTTATTTTGAAGTCGAAGGACATTGTGTGTAGTGTTTTTCTTTCTTTTTTTTAACTCATTTGGGATGAGTGCTTTTGGAATTTAGTGACATTAAATTAAATAAAAAAATGAGCGGACTAATTTCACTTGGTTTTTCCCCCTTTTAGTTTTTGTCTGGCGTCTTGGGGATGGTGAAACGGGTTTTTTGTTGGGTTTTTTTTTCTACTTGGTCTTTAATATTTGTGACATTAAGGTATTTGGTGAGGAAAGTTGCTGAAAAAATTGTATGCATTTTGCAAAATAGGGCACTTCACACTTAAGCCTCCTAGCTCCTATGTTGTTCGCTTGCACTGAGGGAAGATCTGACACCTGATTAACCTGAATATAGAAAAAAGTTGCTAATATGATTTTGGTGACACGTTTTCTCTTTGTCTCTTTGCAGGAGAGATCAAACGCATTTTAGAAAATGAACTTCAAATTCCTGCATCTAAAATGTTGCTTAAAGGATGGAAGACCGGAGATGTAGATGATAGTGTAAGTGTCCTACAATTTTACCAAGAAATTATTCAAATGTTTCCAACAAAATGAATGCATGTAGGTGACAAGGTTTTGGGGTAAATCCGATATCTTTTATTAGACCAGCTACACCCCTGTGTGTGTAGGTGAGGATTACAAATGCAGAGACTAGATTTCTAATAGTATTACTAGAAATCTCAAATGTCAAACTAACGTAAGAAATCAATTCACTTAAACTTTGTAATGGGATTACATGTGATTTCCCCCCGAATTTCTGTGGTCGGTGTTTTATTCATATGTGGTATGACATTTGTGCCTGCAGAAAGCAAATGATTAAATTAGCAATAAGGAATGAATCTTTAGGCAAAATATGTTATTATTCTGTAGCTGTTATATATTATTATATTATATATAGATATATATCTTAATAGAATATATTATGTTAACTTAATAGCTAGAATATATAACTTAATATATGTAAGGAGAAAAATGGTCTTGAGGTTTTCAAACACTGCAGTATTGTATAAATTTAAAATGTATAATTTTTAATTCTGAACATTTTTTTTCAGACTGTTTTAAAAACTCTACATTTGCCAAAAAACAACAGTCTTTATGTTCTAACACCTGAACTGCCCCATCCTTCAAGTAATTCTGGGTAAGGCTTTCTCATAAACTATACCAACATGAACTTATCTGCAGTTCGATGTTACTTTTGTGAAAAAATCTGGAATACATCTTCAAAAGAGCATGTTTTTGTATGAGTAAAACTATGTACCTTTATAACAACTGTGCTAGTCTAAAACATTGACTTGCAGGTCAGATTTACAACCTCAAAATTTATTTGCTTAAAAAAAAAAAAGATTTGGAAGAATAAATTCTCTACCCCTTGTCTGCACTGGAGTCTAACTGTGTAACTTCATCGGCGACTTGGACGAGGTGGTGGAAAGCAGGCTGTCCAAGTTTGCTGATGACACTAAGATGTGGGGCGAGGTGGACACACTTGAAGGGAGAGAGAGGCTGCAACTAGATTTAGACAGACTACAAAAGTGGGCAGACGAGAATAGGATGGGGTTCAATGTAGACAAATGCAGGGTGCTGCACCTTGGGAGAAGGGATCCACAGCGCACACACAGGCTGGGGAGTTTCCCTCTTGAAAGCACAGAGGCGGAACGGGATCAAGGAGTCATTATTGACTCCAAGATGAACATGAGCCGCCAATGCCAGACTGCAGCCAGCAGGGCCAGCCATACCTTGTCATGCATCCAGAGGTGCATCTCAGGCCGGTCCAGAGAGGTGATCCTCCCCCTCTGTGACACTGGTCAGGCCGCAGTTGGAGTAGTGCGTCCAGTACTGGGCGCCGCACTTGAAAAGGGATGTGGCCAGCCTGGAGAGGGTT